ATATAAACCAATGTTCGAATGTAGCAGAAATCTGAGCTCTGAAATTTGTGAGAATAATATTGAACTTGAAACACTAAGACATAATAACTTCAAAACGTTAATAATGCATAGTGAGCATTATGCTTGCAATTAATAAATATTTTTGAACATGGGTATATGAACTTTTTTTATTTACTCAATCTCCCTCAAACNATATAAACCAATGTTCGAATGTAGCAGAAATCTGAGCTCTGAAATTTGTGAGAATAATATTGAACTTGAAACACTAAGACATAATAACTTCAAAACGTTAATAATGCATAGTGAGCATTATGCTTGCAATTAATAAATATTTTTGAACATGGGTATATGAACTTTTTTTATTTACTCAATCTCCCTCAAACATTTTTACAACCTTTCCATTGGTACATAAGGGTTTACTATATGCACCATATACTTTTAAATTAGCTTGTTATTTTACACAGAGTAAGAGTACAATTGAATTGGCTAAATTAGAACAGCATTCATTGTTTTGATTTGTCATGGTTTAGTTGGAATTCACTACTAATTCAACTATCCACACGATTCGTTGAGATAACGATACTATGATAAAGTACAAATCCTCTATACAGCTCAGAAATAATTAATATTTTACTGCATCGTTAGTCGGTATAGTAATGTAACAAAATATGTACTTGAACTTTGCCCTCTTAACAAAGATTACAATAATTATCCCTGTAAATATAAGATACTCGTTTATATCACAGTTCTGTATAGACAATACTTACACATATACAGGTTTTTCCTGTGAACATGACAATAAAATCTTTTGCATTTAAAAATGTTTTGCTCGAAACAATGAAAAAGACAATATTGTTACTGCGTCGTTCCTTTGTTTGCAATGTTCTCTGAATTTTCTAATATTTCCTCTTTCAACACTGCCTCATTCAAGCAGACATTGTTCAAGCTGATCGAGCTATTAGAAAACATAGCAGTGGCTAAATTTGTGCTCTTCGACTCGGCGTTGGTTTGCGAACGATCTTTTGAAGATGTAACCGTAATGTCTGTGTCCTTCGAATGCGAGGAAATGATGTCGCAGGCCTTGCCAAGAATTATCAAACTAATTAGGATTCTGACGGCTATTAATGTTAGGTAGGCCAGAAGCAACAGGATGATGTTAGCTGCTTTTAGTGATGGCGTAATAGTCGTGGAAAGCACTCTTCCTATTGCAACGCCCAAGGGAAGAGGGATAAAACCCATTCGACGAGCTACTAAATCTGATGGATCAGAGAATGCAGTTTCCTGTCGTGGTTGAGCCATATCGTAGGCTAAACTTATCGTATAGTCTCTGTACACGGTGGAAGGAAGTTCATTGAAACGTGTTATGAACGCGTGTTTCACCTAAAAATATCAATTTTTAAGTTAATACAAAGCTAAAAAGATAGAATATGATAAAATGGTAAATATATCAGTGTATACCCAATCAACAAGGACTTCTGCTAGCAGTAACATTATACAATCTGGTAAGAGCACTGCAAGACGCTCCGATTTCCAAGCATATTCTTTCATAGTTTGAAGAGTAACAGCAAAGAGAAGCATCAACAGATGAAAACGTTCTCTTATATCTGCACAAGATAGTTGAAACAAATTATTCTTATCGAATTTCTTGAAGACAGAACCTTTTAGCTCAACGAACTGAAACAAAAAAGCATTTTATAGTAGTATCAGTTAGTTTATCTTAATTTTTAACTGATATCACTTCTTTACATAAGAACACTTTCTTATGTATTAAGTGTTACTTGTCACTTACATTATTTGACATCATTATAGTAAGCAGAGCTTTATTGCTGCTATTTATTGCTACATTGAGAGTGGTTGCTTGGAAGAGTACCAATATGCTGTGCAATACTGTAGAAATATTGTTTAAGAAAATACCTGTCAATTATGAATGTGACTGTATAGTGGCCTCTGATTTCAAGGAACAGACTGTAGTATTGGATATACTGATTAAGTAATTAATTTCCTATTACATAAAGGATACAAACGTAGGCAACAGCAAACAGTAAATGTGGCAGAGTACCCAAATGCTGTGATCCTGTTTGTGTCTTTGACCCAGGTTCTGTAGCTGTCCACAAGAGGGCATCTATCGTGTCCTGACCAAAGGCACTGAATAGTCGATCTCCAACTTCCAGCATATTATAAAATATATACAGTTTGATTACTGACTGGCTCTTCACCAAGTGATACATTATGGAAGTGTCCACTTTCCAAGTAACTATCCAACAGCAAATCACGAGAAACCCTTTCAGAAGATCACAGATCTCTGCAGGCCTCAGACGTCTCTCTCCAGCTCTTGAGTTATCTTTTTTCTTGCTGGTTTGCAAATCAGTTCGTACATAATATACATTATGGATAGTTTATGTAATAGGAGATAATGATACATTGATATGAACTTACCCAAAGCAGTGCCACAGGAGTCTTGTGATTACCGTCCATAAGGCCATTGTAAATCGTAATGGTAAAAATGTATAAACAAACAGAAAGGAGTCTGCACACTGGAATAGAGAGTTTATAATGAAACTGCTGTTCTGACTGACTATATCCATCATAAATTGCATAAGTGAAATATGAAATAAAATTGTATGAACATTATTCTTACTTGTAGGAATCCATAGGCCAAGAATTTTTCAACTTCCCTCGGAATTTTCATAAAAGAATAAATCTTCTCCCTTCTTGCAGAAAATCTTTCCTCATCATATTCTAATTGATATCCTCGTGTCAATTCGGTTTGTAAAAATTGTATGAGAGGTACACCTAAAAATTACGAAAATATAATTATTTGATGGAACTTCACGAAAGAGAAATCGTTGTTTACTAGTAATCAGCAAAGTATAGTGTAACAAATTAAAAATAGATAACAACATTGGCTTGTTTGTTAAGTTTATTTCAGGAAAGTATTATCGGTTTGCATTGAATTTAATTTACCCTGTCTCTTTTGTCGACGTTTTCCATCGCGTGGTTGATTTTTTACATCTTCAACTTTGTTTTTAACAGATTGATTCGTTGTTTTCAATTCCGTGTATTTTCTCTCGCTGTAATTTTGCCAATTTTCGTTGGTACTCATCGTTTCTGTTTATTTCTTTCGATCTCGTTACCACATAACGTCTACTTTGTCGTTTCATCAACAACAATTTTATCTTTCGTTTTTGCATGAAAACAGTTTTGCTTGTTTATATTTCGTTCATTAATATCCTTGAAAATTTTTACTGTACACGTACATATTTAATTTATGATCTACACCAGTCTACACACTATTAACTGTCATGTAACCTAAACGTAGAAAACAGAAGATATAATTTAGACCGGTCTATGAATAACAAGTACACTGACCACCTGATCACTGACCGTCAAAATATTGTTCAGTTAGCTTAGTCATTTTAATCTCATCTGTGCCGTGCCGTGACAGAAGTGGATCAAAGCAAGAATGTTGAAAGTCGACATTCCCATCTATGCTGTGCTACATTCCATGCAACTAATCGCACCGCGACATTTGAATTGAAAAATTTATTACTTGCAGAATATTTTAGGGTTTAGTTAGTACACTTTTCGTAAATTTAACATGTCTTTATTTTACATTTGTTTTTAAATTAAAATATCGTGCTCTCTACTTACAATACTCGGAATGATATGCTCGATGCAAATATAGAATAGAAACTAAAATCTATAAATTTAAGTAACACACAGTGAATTGTAATTCGGTATCGTATAAACTAATACCGGATAAACTAATTAACTTGTTATAAGTATAACACTATGTTTTCTTTGTCGTAATCCCAATCATTGACTATTGTCGAATGTTGTGTGTGTAGCTCGTCATCTCGACAAAGCCGAACTTGCCTCTGACTTTCCACTTATTGCCGACTGTAAACTCATCATCGACCCTCTAAAATATTAGAAAAAAGAAAGAAGAAATAATGACATTCATTGTTTAGATCGTTGCATGATTCATTTAAATTGAAAATATACCTGTAGTGAACCGACGGCAATGTCTCGTAAAAGTACATCAATTGCGCTTTATGGCCACTTATGGATGGAAGAAACTCTCCCAATTCTTCTTGATTATACCACTGTAATACGTATATTCCTGCTCCCTGCATTATATGAGATCCCTAAAACAAAGTATCGGTTAGAAATAGTTAACTTACTTCAAAAGTAATTTAATTTTTAATTCAATTATACCTGAATACTTTCACCGTCATGACAAACGATGCTTGGTTGCACTTTAACAAAGTATCCTGTGACTTCTTCCGTTTCTAAAACTTCAGCACTCTCATTTGACAGAAATTCTGATGAACCTGCGGACACATGTTGTCAGAGATTTGTTCTGCTTTATATGTAGTGTAGTAATAATTTGTAATTAACATACCAGAAGAAGTGGCATGTTTATTGTCCGTGCTAGCTTGATACAATACAGTAAATATCACATTGTGTCGCATCACGTCGAAGTCCCATGTCAAAACTGATCCCGGGTCATTGGAATGTATTATTATGCGGTGTATCTGTCCACGACTTAGGCTAATGGAATGGTACAAACTTTGTTCCTGTTCAGAGGACGGGTTTTCTAACTCCATCTTATAAAGATGCTTCGGTACAAGTCCTCCTTCATTAATATACACCTAATGTCGAAAGAAGAATATTGTTACATTCTTGATAGAATAATAGAACGTAATAGTAATAACAATAACGTCGGAGCCGAAAATATCATCTGTGTCCTTATAGTCTGTTGATATGGACGAACGTTCTCTGTAATATAAGTGCCTGTGGTGGTATGTCCGCAAAGTGTTAACAATATTTTCAGAAACACTACAATATATTCAGTGTTTTCTTAAATTGTAAGTGCTACGGAGAACATACAAAAAATATTAAATGACTTTTGTACATCAGAATGATTATACATAAAATATTCACAAAATGTGCAATAATAGTCGTACTTTTATAGTATATCAATGGCTCCACAGCTTGCAAATGTTTTACAATTTATTGTAAAATACTTGGCAACATATGCGTACACTATTTTACTAAAGTGTCTATCAATTTCCGTTGTCACGGAATAGAACAAATTGCATAATGTCACTACAGTTTTCAACACATAAAACAAAGATAGAAAAATCCTTACGTCAGTAGCAGTTGCGTCGAAAATATAAAATCTTCGAGGTACCATACCATAAACCTCGCAGATATTGTCCTATTCGTTAAAATACATAATTGTTCAATATAAAATTCAGTCTGTATAACAGTATACATGTTTCTACTCGAGGAGTAAATGTAACTATCATATTAATTACTTGTTTCACGACGATAGATCGGTAAGTTCTATACAAACGATACACTACCGACAATTGTTGTGCTTACCTCGCACGATCCTCCCAAAAAATCAGGTATAATTTCGGGACAAATGTACTCCCTGAGGCTGCCTGGTCCTTCATCTTGGTAATTAGTACCACAATAAAATATAAATTTCTTTCTCGTATTTTCATCTATATAATAGAAAATCAAACAGGTTTAGATAAAATTAGTACCCGTCGAATATTATTTACGGTTGTACAGAAACGTTGGTGCACTCTTACTTATAAATGTGCTAATGAGTGTCCACAGAATGGGGAAGCATCTTGGTGCTCGCATAAATAGAACTCTTCCCATGGTTTCTGGATAATTTATTTCAACAATTTCAATAATACGCAGCAACGCCTGTAGGAAATGATTATTAAAAAGAATTTTTGTTTTTCATGGAAATCATAATCATTCAATCTTCTTGAATTAGACCAAAATCGTGACCATTTCTAAAAATGCATCGTGGATATTGCAGTATTAAGATATGTTACATTAATATGTTACCTGTCGTTCTTAATTGTGTCATAGCTGATTAGGTTTGAGTCATGTGTCAGTGTGTGGATGTATGATATGATATGTGTTTCTATTTTCTATATAACAGCTTGTACCTTTATGCCTGGTCTCCATAAATGACGCATATTCAATCCGTCTAAATCGAGCAATAAAGTCCATTCAGAAATCGGATGACCGGAAGAATTGGTCGCCTCCTCCATAAGAAGGAGGCCTTCTTCACAAACGTGTAGAGCCTGTAAATGTTACAGATTACTAATTTTGTTAAACGTTTTGTAATTAATGAAGTCGGGACGATTAGGAACAATTCAACTTACTAATAACAATAAATCATCTTCTCCGATGGACTTTAACAGACCTTTCATATCCATTTGGCCCACTCTTAAAATATATAAAGGGCGTCCATCTAGAAATTAGATACAAAACATTTTAATTATATAAATGTATGTGTAAGAACGTATAAATGTTGTGCAGTATAATTATCGGCTATTGCAATTCTGATAAGCATTACTGATAAGAATACAGACTCAGTCAATTATATCATAGAATGTGTGTAAATATCTGATATCAAGTGATAGAAAACGTGATGTCAACTGCAGTATTGGCTGATAACAATATTAAAAATTATATAAATGTATAGTGTCGAAAAGACGGTGATTGTGGCAGTACCTTTGTCAAAATGATGCCAGCCTCCAGGGAAATAATCTTTGACTACTTGTGGTATCTCATACTCTTCAAGAAGTTTGTCAATTTGATGCTTCTTTCGCCAGTGGAGGGATTGTGTTAACATATCCTTTGCTTTATCAACTGAGAATTCTGTCGCTCTCAAAAATCTTAAAAGCGTCGCATCACCAGGTACAGAGCTTCCCCTTAATTCTTTTATACTTTGCGATAGTTGAACGAGTTTGCTTTCTTGAATCATGTCTAGTTTTCCTAAATACCTTTCTATGTAATCTGAAGAAAGTTGCATTTCTGGAACGTGACGTGTAAATGTCTCGAGTGAGTTCAATTCAGTGTTCAGATCATGAGCGACTGTCACAATACATGTCAGTAATCTTACAAATAATGGCACAACCGTTCTTATCTACCAAGCGGACGCTGTTAGCGTCATACTAGCAGATACAGAGCAAATACTTGAAATTGTGCGCGTAATATTGAAAATTAAATATCTTATTAGTTGTAATAAATCGTTAAAACAATATTTAAGCACCTCTGGTTTGTAGATTTTCTGTGTACGAATAAGTGTCGCTTCCACTGTGTGATGCTTGATTTTCTGTATCCTTGTCCCTGCATAAAGCGAAACAACGTGGTCAGAATAATTGTATTGGTCTTGGTGTTCAATAGCCTTCAATATAAATTAACTTACCCATCCGTTTTCTCAGAATTCTTGCTTGGATTCGTCCATGGTGCTACATATACAATACCCTCTTGCTTCAATTCGTCTATAAAATATTCTATTATTTCTTTACCCTACAATAAATTGTTAGGTGAACCCGATTTCTGTTATACGATAAATAAGAACCATTACAGTTACCAGCGCATATACCTTCGCGATATTTTGAGCATACTGTTTCATAGCCAATTTTTCCATTGAATTTTCGAATCCGAAGAAGTTCTTTATATCCAAACTTGCCGTCTGTTCGAAACACGTCCAATCCTGATTTTCGGGGTGGACCTAAAAACATTTCAGATTCATTGAGGGCATTCTTTGCATCATCTAAATAATATAATGTAAATCATATAAGTAACAAGTCATCATAGATACTAACGAAGTATCTACATTTTTCAATGACCGTCACCCTTGAAGAAAAGCTTTCGTTGTATGCTTCTATTTCCAAGATACAGTTTTCTCTGTCCAAAACATTCTTTTGGATGAAGTACACGAAGTCTACGCCAATTATCTGTGAAGATGAATATGAAATACACTTTAATTCTTCAAATGTATCTCCCATGGTATATACAAACCTTCTTCAAGATATATGGTGCATCGACATTGAGTTTGCATCTTCGCTCCGTAATTCGAATCGCCCCGTTGTTATTCTCCTCATCTGAAACTATCTCGCAACCAACAAAGACGGGAATTTGAGGACATGTCGGAAACCTACGTTCATATGCCTATAAACAAAATCAGAATTTATAAATAACAGTCCGTTGGTATTGTTGGCAGCCACGGAACGGAAGTAAGGAGTAGTAAAAATAATAAATTCTGAAGGACCTCATGAAAAATGTCCATGAAATTACCCAAACACGATTTTTTAAAAATTTGTTGCTTCTCTATAAAATGTTGCTATGTTACACTAATCATCTTTAAATTTTGTATGCGGGTTCCTAATAAGATCTGCATCTGTTCATGAAGCCTTTCTTTAATCTCATTTGCTATTTTGTAGTTACAAACAAAGTCAATGTCTTCTTTAAGAATGTAACTTTTCTATAACATGTTGCCTCTTATTTTTTTTATCTTGGTTTTCCAACTTGTTTATAAAGAAAACAATAAATGATAGGACACATAAGAGGACTATAATAAAGAGTGCGTAAAAGTATCAAGGAGATTTAGAGGTCACTAAGTAATATTCCTAAAAGAACTCATGTGTACACCAATATGTTTCATAGTTGTCCAAACAAATTGATCTACCTCCATTTAGAATTGGTCAAGGTTTTGGATCTGGACATAATATTTATTGAAGTTCAATTACATCTATCTTATTAATTGTTCCAGGTCTGTGAAGTTGTAATCTTCAACATTCAATACAAAATATTCAGGATGTAGTATCTTGATGTGGTGTTGCATGTCTTGCAGTAACTACTGATGTTATAATTATCAATATCAAGTAATGCCATAATGTTAAAAGTGACAATTAAAACCAACTGATACAGATCTCTAAAATGACTCTTACAAATGAAAGCAAATTAGTGCATTTGCTATGATGCTATCTTCTATATTTGTTCAACTTGGCTTTAGCTATAAATTGCACAATATTCCAATGTAGATGATCTGTTTCCGATCTGTAAAAAGTATTATCTATGAGTTAGGACATCAAGCTGTATACCATTCAAAGTATATGAGAAATATTCCTATAACTTTTTCAATGTGTCTTTGATATTATAAACATAACAAAAATTACAAATTTCTCACAAATCATAATTACAGAACGTTTATAAGTTGAATAATACAAAGTTGAAAAAAAAATCAAAGGAAATATAATTGAAATAATACTATTATTTTCTATTTACAAATTGTCTGATTTTGGGAAGTTGAAATCACCTTATTGATCATCCAATATGTTGTGATTATGCACATAGAAAAACACATGAGTCTGTTCAAATAATTAAATTATTTTTAAATCTCCTTGATGTACAATGAAGGAAATTTATTCCAGAAAGGAAGAAGCCTATATATGCAATCGTAAATATTTACTACAGGCCACAGATTAATAAACATGTCTGCTAAGTCTTTAATGTTTAGGATGAACCTAGGCCATGGTGCCTGTTTACATATATGAATTTCATCGAAAGATTTAGATGTGACAAGTGTACGAGTGCAAAGTCAATTATACATATATCTGGAAAACTTCGTACACAATATTATAACAGGTGAAAGAAGTCTGTTTCCATATAATTATGATTTAACATGACAGTACTATTTTCGAGGTCACAAATAATTTCTTTAAAACTTTTCAATCATATGAATTTACCTTGCTTTATGATAATTTAGTTATGTATAAATAATAAGAAGATGAACGTTCAAACAAATGTAAGTGAAAAGAAAGGTGCAGATTAATTACTAAAATTCAAATACGTAAATAGTATATGTAAACCCACCATCATCACAAGTGGAAATGGATGTTTGTACACCCGTACGGGTGACTTATATTGTTGAACCATAGTTAAATAAACTCTTCTTATAAATTCGCTGCTAACCTAGATGTCAGCGAGTTAAGGAACTAAAACAATACAAACTAATTGAATTGATTGAAATTCATTATATGTGCGGCAATGGTATACCCACTGGTATAAACAAAGTTCATAGGTTACCATAAGTCAGTCTTGCATCTGCGTTTTATCGTGATTCTCAGTGTTTGTGATACCACGCGTGGAAAATATTTTAACACAAAACTATTCAAGGTTACGTAAATTATCGAATGAAACACGGCATAATCAGTTTTATGCACTTTGCTATACATCAATCTGGAATTTAACTTAAATGTCATCTATCGAACTATGGATATAAATATTATTATTTTCTTGTAGATGCCGTTACAGGTCAAGTTTCCATGGTGGATATGCATGAATGCGCATGCTGGATTTTTTGTCACAGAAGAGGTTATTTTATCGAGAACTTAAACTGTGTCGCAATTTTTGACGTTCACAACCTCCAAATATTCCCGCAACATGGCGCCACTTATGCGTCTGCGCACTAAATTCTATAAATGTCAGCCATGTTGCAGTGGAAAGCAGTGGAAAGTGGAACGCCTCAGCCGCGTTATTAAGTTCGATGACAGTGTCTTAAACTCTCATAAAATTGTAACAGGAGTTTTAATCCAACAAAATTTGTTCATGTGTTAATTACAGTAATGTTTCTACAACACATATTTACATCATATTAAAAAGATTATTCACAAACATTTTGGCAAGGTTATATTATACTTTCCGTACTACGGAAAGTTTTTGGCGCGCATTTGTCTCTTTATCGCAACAATAAAAAATGGCTCTTGATATTAAACATCTATAATTACCGTTCTCTAAGGTATATACGTTCTAATAAATTTAACCTCGCATTTTCTTACGCATGATCTGTTAAAAGCGATAAAAATACCGGTGCGTGCCCTTGTTTACAGACGTCATCTTAGATTTATCTTCAGATTAAAGATGCAGCCGAGTTTATCGATCTTGTCGAGCGCGAAACCAAGAATGTCGTGTACGACATAAACTTTGTGTTTTGAAACGAAATACCATGGTGTCGTAAGGTAATTTCAAATTTGTAGGGCAACATTTCAGATAATTAAAGATGGGAATCGGTAAGAGTCAATTTACCGAGGAGGAACTGCAAGATTATCAGGTATCTGACAGAATCGTTAGTAAATATTTTACGTAGACTTTTTTTAATATTATTTGATGTTTCAGGATCTGACGTATTTCACGAAGAAAGAAGTTTTACAGTGAGTGTGTGAAATAATACCAACTTTAATTTGAAAAATTTTATAGACATCACTTTATTACTACTAATTTGTATTTTGACGATTATTATGTTGCAGTGCACATCAAAAGTTCAAGGCTCTCGCTCCAGAGAAAGTTGGTCATAATAGAAATGCCAAGCTACCAATGTCCAAGATTTTACAATATCCTGAATTGAAAGTAAATCCTTTCGGTGACAGAATTTGCAAGGTATTCAGCTCCAGCCAAGATGGGGATTGTACCTTCGAAGATTTCTTGGACATGATGTCAGTTTTCAGCGATGGAGCTCCAAAAGCTGTGAAAGCAGAGCATGCTTTCAGAATATTTGGTAATTCTTTGTAATTAATTGTATAGTAACTCTTTTTACTTTGTGTATCAAATCTTTTTATTTTCTGACTCTCCTTTTTCATTCTTCTAGAACCTATTCCATCTTTCTACATTTCCACGCATGATGCCACTCACGACTGACCCCTGTTTCTCCCTTCTTTCCTGTATTCTGATTTCCTAAACTTCTGTTAATCAGGTAATAAATTACTTATTATTATAGATTTCGATGGTGACGATATGCTCGGTATTGGGGATCTGAGACAAGTAGTTGATAGACTTACTGCACCTCAAAGATTGAACGAAACAGATATGCAACAAGTCCTTCAGTATATACTCGATGAAGCAGACTTAGATGACGATGGTGCACTAAGTTTTGCAGAATTCGAACATATTATAGAAAAAAGCAACGATTTCTCCAAGTAAAGATCTGATTTTTATTACATCTGTAATTATATATCTGACAATTTTGACAAAGCAGTATACGCGTTTATATTTTCAGGAGTTTTCGTATACGTTTGTGAAATACCAAACACTATAAATGAATGACTAACATAAGACTGAACATTACGTTAGTGTAAAGATCATTTTAACGTAATGATAGGCCTAATCATATTTCCATTCTGTAGGTAAACTTAAGAATTTAGAAAGTATATATGCACATATACCATTGACTCTTTAAGGCCTACAAAATAATACAAACTCTATAAGTCGCTCTTCTTCATTTGAAGGATATTATACAATTTTACGAAGAATATCTAGATCTGTTAAGTAGACGAATTTAATTCAAATACTTAACGAACCTGTTGATTGTGACTTGTATTTTTATGATTGTAATGTTACTATGCCAAAGTGTTCTTTATATCTTATACAACTTTATTTATTTAAAATGTTATCATTTTTTACCACTTATTAAAGAAATGTAATAAGCACGAACATTAAATATCTTTCCTCTCGAAGAAGAAGATTTTCAATGGGAATAGCGCGCGCCTCATGAGAGCCTCATTAATAATAATAAGCGTGATAAAATATTATCACAATTTTTTAACGATAAACTATTTCCATTTTGGTAAGTGAAGGATTAAATGTGAATTATCTTTGAACAGTTTATTTCTGACTAACTTACTGAATGCGAAATCATTAAGCATACATAATTTTTCATTTTATTATCATTAGATTTACAATGAAATAAAGTTGATTCGTAAACGATCGAAATTATGACATAGTTAAATTGAATCGCACCTTCTCTTCGTGTTTTCTTTCTTTAGTGTATAATTCGTGTGAACAATCACAGAGATTACAAAGGCATTAACTCCTTTACAGTTATTATAGTCTGCGGTTATAATTATCGAAACTTCCCGTTCGAAATACATAATCGTTGTAACGTAACAAATAAATGGATTATTCGTTTAATCGACGAATTAATAGTAATCGGCTTTAGGCGTTAGAGTCAAGTGGATATCACAATCAATTTTTATTTAATACAATTATATATAATATTAATGCAACTATACGAATTAGTTTCATGAATAATCTCGGAAACAGAAATGAAGGGGCAAACCGATATGAGAAATTATTGCATTACGTTCTATTATGCTAACGTGGAGAACCGGAAATTTATGGTGTCTAATTAATTCCCGACAAAAATTGTACAATATTTCTTGATATAGATATTTACACGATCTGCACATGGGATATGAGTTAGAAGCCGTTTTCTTTCTTTTTTTTTCGTAAGTATCTGTATTCTTATAAAGAGCGTTTACGATATCATTGCAGTTTTTAAATTTAAGCCACTGTTCATTTTACGTACTTCGTTGAATTCATATAATTTGAAATCAATACAGGGTAATAATCGATGATCGCCTATTTTCCCGCGAAATTACAAAATTCCGTTCTCACGATACATTTAGAATACTGTACAACTTTCGTGCAAATCATCTCAACATTGGTTGTTCTACTAATTAATTAACAAACAATCGGTAGATAATAATCGCTATGGTATTTACAAAATGTTATCGTAGTAGACACGTTCAGTTCGAAACCGTGGCAAATCCAACGATTTTCTCCCGGTAAGAAAAATCGGTACCCCGAGAGAGAATCAGAGAAAACAAATAGAAAACAAATCCTTGTAATTCGCCGAATCTGATCGACACGTTCCATTCGTCGGATTGTTATCAAAGGGACCCAGCCGCGCGATGACAAAAAAAAGAAAACTCTTTAAAAATCATGTCAGCCAGGTTGTTACATTCGAAGTGGCGGATTTCGCGAATGAAGAAGCCTCGGCTAATTGCATCGGTCGCACGTTGAGACAAAAAGAAAAAAAAATACTCTCCGGCTAGATTCGTCGCGCGCGTGGTTACAATTACCTTAAGATAAACGACATAACCATTAAAGATCCAGCTACCCTAACGAGAAGACAAAAACAGAGCCGTAAAACAAAAGCTCTTTGTTTCCAAGCTTGTTTAGGGAACGTTCCGAACATAGTCACCGGTTCGAGTCGAAATAAACATCTGTTGCATCGTTGCATAGAAAATCAAGCGGTCACGAAAAGAATTCGCCACTTTATTTGCAACAATCTATTAACTACTTACGTTACTTGCCCTCCTCTTCCCCCCTTCGTCTTTCTAATGAAACTTTTAATTGCCTGCTTAAATAGTCTACACACGTTGAACAATGTTCTCTCTCTCTCTCTCTTTCTCTCTCTCTCTCTCTCTCTCTCTCTCTCTCTCTCTCTCTATTCCGTGTACACGGTGTGTCCGTCCGTCNAAGAAGAAGATTTTCAATGGGAATAGCGCGCGCCTCATGAGAGCCTCATTAATAATAATAAGCGTGATAAAATATTATCACAATTTTTTAACGATAAACTATTTCCATTTTGGTAAGTGAAGGATTAAATGTGAATTATCTTTGAACAGTTTATTTCTGACTAACTTACTGAATGCGAAATCATTAAGCATACATAATTTTTCATTTTATTATCATTAGATTTACAATGAAATAAAGTTGATTCGTAAACGATCGAAATTATGACATAGTTAAATTGAATCGCACCTTCTCTTCGTGTTTTCTTTCTTTAGTGTATAATTCGTGTGAACAATCACAGAGATTACAAAGGCATTAACTCCTTTACAGTTATTATAGTCTGCGGTTATAATTATCGAAACTTCCCGTTCGAAATACATAATCGTTGTAACGTAACAAATAAATGGATTATTCGTTTAATCGACGAATTAATAGTAATCGGCTTTAGGCGTTAGAGTCAAGTGGATATCACAATCAATTTTTATTTAATACAATTATATATAATATTAATGCAACTATACGAATTAGTTTCATGAATAATCTCGGAAACAGAAATGAAGGGGCAAACCGATATGAGAAATTATTGCATTACGTTCTATTATGCTAACGTGGAGAACCGGAAATTTATGGTGTCTAATTAATTCCCGACAAAAATTGTACAATATTTCTTGATATAGATATTTACACGATCTGCACATGGGATATGAGTTAGAAGCCGTTTTCTTTCTTTTTTTTTCGTAAGTATCTGTATTCTTATAAAGAGCGTTTACGATATCATTGCAGTTTTTAAATTTAAGCCACTGTTCATTTTACGTACTTCGTTGAATTCATATAATTTGAAATCAATACAGGGTAATAATCGATGATCGCCTATTTTCCCGCGAAATTACAAAATTCCGTTCTCACGATACATTTAGAATACTGTACAACTTTCGTGCAAATCATCTCAACATTGGTTGTTCTACTAATTAATTAACAAACAATCGGTAGATAATAATCGCTATGGTATTTACAAAATGTTATCGTAGTAGACACGTTCAGTTCGAAACCGTGGCAAATCCAACGATTTTCTCCCGGTAAGAAAAATCGGTACCCCGAGAGAGAATCAGAGAAAACAAATAGAAAACAAATCCTTGTAATTCGCCGAATCTGATCGACACGTTCCATTCGTCGGATTGTTATCAAAGGGACCCAGCCGCGCGATGACAAAAAAAAGAAAACTCTTTAAAAATCATGTCAGCCAGGTTGTTACATTCGAAGTGGCGGATTTCGCGAATGAAGAAGCCTCGGCTAATTGCATCGGTCGCACGTTGAGACAAAAAGAAAAAAAAATACTCTCCGGCTAGATTCGTCGCGCGCGTGGTTACAATTACCTTAAGATAAACGACATAACCATTAAAGATCCAGCTACCCTAACGAGAAGACAAAAACAGAGCCGTAAAACAAAAGCTCTTTGTTTCCAAGCTTGTTTAGGGAACGTTCCGAACATAGTCACCGGTTCGAGTCGAAATAAACATCTGTTGCATCGTTGCATAGAAAATCAAGCGGTCACGAAAAGAATTCGCCACTTTATTTGCAACAATCTATTAACTACTTACGTTACTTGCCCTCCTCTTCCCCCCTTCGTCTTTCTAATGAAACTTTTAATTGCCTGCTTAAATAGTCTACACACGTTGAACAATGTTCTCTCTCTCTCTCTCTTTCTCTCTCTCTCTCTCTCTCTCTCTCTCTCTCTCTCTCTCTATTCCGTGTACACGGTGTGTCCGTCCGTCCGTTGCGATAAATCCGTCCCGAGTGAGAAAATAAACGGTAATTAGGTAATTAACAGCTTAATTGTTTTTGTTAGTGTTCAGCGTAACGTCCAGGGGCTCGTCGACGTTTTGCGGAGGACTGAGCTCTTGTTGAGGCAATTGGTGAAATAACGTTGAGATCGGCGCGTGTCGGGGAGGGCCTTTCACGGTCAAATCCATTTCGGCTTCCTGAGGTCTGTCTCTCACGGTCAGGCTCGTTTCTCTTTCCACGGGACTCGCACATATCCGGGGCGGCGAGCCGCAGCCGCATTTCAGTCTGTCCGGCGATTTCTCGCAGGACAATGAGTATCTGGAACAGTCGTCACGATTCATCGTTAAACAATTCCACGGATTAACGTCCATCGTGGATTCTAGAGTCGAAAATATCTTTCTTTTTTTTATACTTTCGCCACTGTTTCGCTTGGTCAGAATCGTTGACGCGGACAGCAAATTCTCTCTAATGTCCTATATAATAATAATAATGCATATCTTGGTGCATATTTTGTAAACAAAAATTAGGAGAGGGTTTAAGTCATCAATCATTCAGACCTACGACCGAAGAACGTTCCAATGGAATTTTCGAAGCGTACACCGAGATCATATGAAACAGGATTTTGCAATTTTCGTTCTAGGTTCGGATAGAAAATAGTTACAGGAAACGCGCGAGTTTTTCCAAAGGATTCGCAGCGTGTTGCCGACGACAGTTACCCATGAGGGGGCGGTAGGATCCTGTAATCCCTGCAAACGGACAAAGGCGGAGTGGCGGGTATTTTGTCAGTGTTGGCGGACGTCAGGGGCGGTGGGTTGCCAACAGCAGCGGCGGCAGTGGATGGCGGCGGAGGAGGCGGTGGCGGTGGCGGCGTCACTGCGTCTGGACGCTCCAAGGATGCAGTTGGGGGCGGCCTTAGAAGCAACGGCGCTGCACTCCCTAATCCCAAACATCGCATTCTCCATGCGTCCTGCAGCAGCTGCAGGCGCGCCTGCTTCCGCCATTTTGCACGCCGATTTTGAAACCAGACCTGTGATCGCATAACACATTCTCGCCCTTTAGGAACGTTAGGAGCGTTATTTTATATCATATTTATATTACATATATATTATATTTATTTAATTTTATATACATTATTGAATAAGAGTGAGATCGAATATGTCTTATTCAATAAATATATGACAATATATCTATAATATATAATATACCTATATATATAATTATATCATGATAATTATCATATATTATAATAATATATTTATATCGAATAAGACATATTCGATTTATTCAAAAATAAAAAAAGCTTTAACTTTAAGCTTCACACTTGGAGACATTTGAATTCTAAATCCAAGATAGTTTTTCCGAACTATGATATACCCATTTTCCGTGATCTATAATTAGTGCATTTTATACAGATCTAATTGAGTCTTGTGACGCGTACAGCTTTTTAAATGTAAACAATTTTGGTGCTTTAAAAATCATTTTGGAACGCGATGAAACAATTTTTGGCAGTGCCTTAAAGTCACCTTTCGAGTGCAAAGGGTTAAATTCGTAATAAACCGATTAATTCAACATTTTGCTGAACATTCGCGATTCAATCGTACGGCAAAACATGTCGGGGAATTCTTGTTAATCTTCATGGTTTTCAGAAAAAGCAAACACTTACGTACGAATCAGCAACAACTGTCGGACAATTATTATACACCGGAGATTGATGTAAATCGAAATTAAAACGAGCTCACGCTCGTACCGACCCCCGCGTTATGTATCAATCGCATTAGAACGATGCGACGGCATTGATATTCGCGATAATAGTTCACCGCGTTCTTTTGTCTGAAACGAAGTAATGGGACCACTGAAGAAATCTATTCGCTGGCGCAGACGGTTCGCTGCATTACAAAGATTGGACGAGCGCAAGAGAGCTTTCCGATGGGTTCTCCGCAGCACGCGAGCAACGGACCCGGCGTTGCGTTGCTGAAAATGATTAATGCCAAAAATCAGGATTTCCGTGGGAAATCGCGGTGCGTCGGAAAACGAGACGGAAACATTTCTTTCGCGAGATACAGCAAATTCTCCCTAATTGACGCTCGGATCGCGCAGAAAAATAGGTTCTAAATGCGGTAATCGCATTAATTATTCGTTCGGCTCGCACAAATGATTTGTATCGGTATGAATATATTATTATTATTATTATTATATATTATTATGGTATGAATGCGTCAAGCATCCGCAGTCTGATTCGTTGAAAGCGTCGCGAGATTTTTGCAGCGCCGACGCTGCGTAAACGCGTGTCCGCTGCGATATGATTAGAGACGATCTGTGATCGAATAATATGTTGATAGCGATCATCGTGGAACGGATTTTCATAAAAATTATATCACTTTTCCGTAGCAAGAATTAATATATCTCTTGAGAATTTCATTGGAAAGTCGTTCGTATTCGCGTAAACCGATTTAAAACGAGTTAAATCGATTATAATTCTTCGGTTATTATACATTGTTACACATAAATCAGTTATCTTAATTAACGATTAACGATTATAACTTGTTGGTTAATCGTAAATGAGTATAAATTGATCAGAAAGTAATCCGTTTCACGATTATAATCCCTTTAGTTACTATAAGTAATTATAAATTAGTTATGATAACTAATAATTAACGATTTTAACTTATTGGTTAGTCGTAAATGATTATAAATTGATCAGAAAGTGATCCGATTCATGATTATAACTCTTTAGTTATTACAAGTTATTATAAATTAGATATGATATCTAAATATTAACTAACATTAGTTAGTTATTCCAACTAATTTAAAATAATTTAGAATAATCAACGAGTTGTAATCGTCAATCATTGATCATACTATTTTTTTCAGAATTAGTTGTAACTTGGTTATAACAATTAATTAGTTATAGCTTAGTTATACCAATTAAAGTTAGCTATAACTTAGTTATAACAATTAAGGAGTTGTAACATGCTAATCTCGAATCAAATTACATTTTTGCGCAACTCCGTCTGCGATCTGACGTTAGGAATTTTCGTAAAAATGAATCTCGTGGTACCTGCTGCTAAATTATCCATCTATATCGAACATTAACAACGAAATTAACGCGATTTTGCGGACGAAACGCGCGCGGTTCAGGATTTTTTCTTCGATCGAATTCGTTCCGCCTCCGGAACGAAATCATGTCCCATCGATCCGTGTAGATACGGGTCATACGAGGTAATCACGCGGTGGTTTCTTACCGCGATTCAACCAGCTTCCGTCTATTAATTAATCGTAATCAAGGGCCGCGCGGCGCGCATGCGAGTATGTGAAGACGGGCGGCATTTTGTTCGGCGCCTGAATGCCCGTCGAACTGATTAGCGGTTGATTACTTACCCCCTGTTTAACCAACGTGAATTACCATTAACGGGACACCCCTAATTAACCTGTTCAACTAAATGACCCGCCGAAAACCCACGGCCGACGCGCGATCTCCTGCGGAAAGAACGACGGCTTTTTTTTCATCGGGACGTGGAAAAGCTCGTCGGTCCATCGCTCGGCGACAAAAAATCGCACGATCATCGATCCAGGCTCATTCGAGTAATTAGGCTTCCCTCTGTCGAATCGTCGCAAACGGGATCTCGACAGAAATTCTTTGAGCTTCGTACACGACTACACTGTGCGCAATTCCCGAAGTTCTCGGGAAAACTCTCTCCGCGAGTACGCGGGCGTTCCTTGTCGCGAAATGATCTTAGGAAAAATAACGAGTTCAGTGACGCGAAATTACGGACTTTATTCTTCAAAATGAGCCTAGATAGATCATCGCACGACGTCTCCTCGCGAAGTTACAGCAGTTCGAACATGATAAAAAGTGTGTACAGTAAAGTCTCCCTAATTCGCGCTCAGCTTGGTAACAAAATTATAATTATTGTTTTTATAGTTTTTTGACAATGTCGAGGCTCGGATAATTGTATCTTCTCTTCCTGAATGGTCCATTTTCGTTTCCAAGCTTGAGGAAAATTAGGAAGAATTTTCTGTATCGGGGAAATTTGCGAGTCCGTGCGAGCTCGAAGGGTGAATCGTTGGACGGCAATGTTGCATATTAACCTGGACACGGGCTTCCGAGAGCGAGATTCGTAGGGCGACTTCCTCCCTCAGGAACACGTCCGGGTAATGTGTCTTCTGGAACAGGGACTCCAGTTCCTGCAGTTGTTGGGGCGTGAAGGTTGTCCGGTTGCGTCTCTGCTTAAACAGAATTCGCGAGAATTAAATTAATTATTCGCGCGGCCCGAACGGGGATCGAAGCTCGAACGATCCTTGTACAACGAGTAATTATCGCACGTGATGATCGCCGTGAAAATCACAGCACGAACAACGCGCGTTTCGCCGGAACGTTCGCGAGGAAGACGCGAGGAAACTGTTCCGCATCGCAGCGATTTTATTCGTCGGCCGATAAATTGCATCGGAGACGACGCCGTATAAAAGCGTTGCGGCATGAATGAACATGCGTGACGCAATTTCGCGTTAATTGACATGATATTCCATGAATTCTGGCCTCCGTCACGTTTTCCACAGCCCCGCGGCCGTGTATCTTTTGAGAGCTCGATCAGCGACGAATCAATAAATTCCTCGAATACCGTCACGGTTTCAGCCGCGATTTTCTCAGGCAGACTGTTTCGCGAAACCGAAGACGCCGTTTAGAATCGTCCCGGAATCTTGCTGGAATCGGCCACGATCGCCTTCGTTCACGGTTAGGCCATTTTTTCCCGGAGACAATATCGCTGGACGACCCAATTTCTGCAACACGGTTCAATCAATCGGCCAGGAAATTTTGTTTCGAAGACATTTACGAGAACGCGGATATTCGTCCTCGGGTTATTTATTAACGCTAGGAGGTTATTTATTGTCGATACGACTGCTTGCCGATTTTTTCTTTCACAGTTCTCGATGCCGTAAAAATATTTTCGCTGCGGAAACGTTTATTCGAACTTGTTCGTTCGAGCGCGTATTGCGATCAAAATCGTAGGAACTTTATAATCGATCCAATCGTTACAAATTACAATTGTTACAAATTGCAATTGTTTAGCGGCTCGGCAGTTCTAGCGTGAACGTAGTCGCCGTCGACGAATTCGTTCGAAATCTTCTTTACGTCGCAGACAACGTTAATTATTTTCCGCCGAATTTTGCAACCGGAGGACCGTTGCAATTTCCGGAAACGATCCAGCCGGATAATCACTCGTAATTAATATTTACAGTTACGGAACAATGTCTCTCTCTCTCTCTCTCTCTCTCTCTGCCTGCAACACCATTCTCGGAAGTCTCTGCTCCCTTCTCGCAGCCAAAAATCAACCCCTAAATTTCATACACGTTTCTCTCGATTACCGAGATATTCTCGCGAAACAAAAGAAAGGTGCACGTCACCCCCACTTCGCCGATTTTATTCGGAAATTCTCGGACAACTCCTCTAGGACAGACGTCGAATGATCTCTCGAGCATGATCTCGACCTGCACGCTAGCTGTACTCTGTTACGTCTATTTATTATTTAGGTAATTATTACTATTATTATTTAGGTTATTCTTTAGGTAATTATTTAGGTAATTAATATTATTATTTACCCTCGCTTCGCACGAAAATCTAGCAAAATTCTAGCTCGCTCGGGGCAAGCAAGAAATCAATTCTCTCAAGAGAGTAAATTCGATATCGTCCGATTACTTCCGAGGGAAAAGCGAATGATTTCGGCCGAATGACACCTCGACGTTCAAAGTAGCATCAACGAGAGAGACTTCGGACAGCCGATGATCGTGCGACGTGGACAACGGGCCGCGAGAAAATCGTACAGATCAGGTCGTTCGCGATCCGAATATTTTCATGGCGATACGAGAAACGGCGCGAACTGGGTAAACGGCGAGAGGAAAACGAAAAGATACGAGAGGGAAACGTACACTGACCTGACGACGTCTTCCGAACATGTATTCGGTGAGGAGGTCAGCCTGGGGGCCCAGAGGCGATAGATACGGGCCTGCCATCCCTTCGAAGACCTGATGGTGCTGCGTTGTTCCTCGATATTGTGTGCCCCGGTCCGACCGACGAGATTTTCTCCCGTTCTCCCTTTTTTCTTGATCCTCGAGGCCTTTTTTCCCGCTGTGTGATCCGTAAACCGCGTCGCAGAGACTAGGCTGGATCCGTTTGATCGTTCCCGATAGGACGACGCCGAGGAAACTGAAGTCTCCTTTCGCGTAGTTCACCCTCGATCAGCCCCGTGTTTCGCGGCGAAACGGGGGTCGGTTTCCCCGGCCGGGATTGGTCGGTCGGTTTTAGGGGCGGCGCCACCTCCATGGAGATAAGTACACACCCCTCTTGTGGAAAATTCACTAAATCGTACCGCGCAGAATTTTTCCTCCGGAGAGGGATGGTACTTAATTTTCGGCTGCTCCCAAGATTTTCCCTCGCTTTCGAGCCCGCGCTAGGGCGAGCGCGCGCGCAGCCACGCTCTTCCTAATTCCGCGCTTTCTTTTCTCTTTTTCTCTCTCTTCCTTTTTTCGTTTGATTTTATACACTAATTCGGTTCCGTGCGTTGCCGACGCTGCCCTTGCAGAGAGCATTTCTTGTTGTTCCAACGTTCTCGAAACGGGTTTCCGTGCCGGAGAGGTAATCTCTTGAAGAAAACTCGAAATCGTTGTAAATCAAATGTTTCGGGCTGACGGCGAAAACGCTCGAGCAACTTCGGTTCTCGGTTGCATTCTCGTTGGAATTTTTGAACGTTGTCGGTCTCGAATTAAAGCTTGAAGAGTCCGCTTCGAGGCAGAGTAATTTTGATTGCAGAGAAAATTCGAAATATCGTTACGAAAAATTGAAAGTTCCAGCCGTTCGACTGTCGGGAAAGTGAACTGAACTCAAAGGGCAATTTCAAGTCTATCTATAGTTGCTTTCCTGTGGGAATTTTTGGACATTGTTGCTTTCGAATTAAAGCTTGAAGAGTCCGCTTCAAGACAGGGTAACTTTGATTTAAAAGAAAATGCAGGATCCTTTCGTATCTTATGTATCGCGCGAATGATGCATAGATACTTATATGGACGAGTATCTGTTTCTATATTATTTTATAATGAAAATTTCATTTTCCATGTTCTTCGTTATTTTAAATACTAGAACGATATACATAGTTTTATCTAGTATTAGATCAACATTGACGATCAAACATTTACAATTTCTTTTCAATACGTTTTTAATCCCGTGGCATTGTATTTACTCGCTGACATCCTAAATGTCGCAGAAACTCAGAAGAAAGGAGAAGAACGATGCAAAAGAAGATGAAGAGCAACACATCAAAGACAGTTCGAAAGCGTATGAAAGCTGCAAGAGAAAAGAAAGAAGTAGAAGAGGAAGCTCCGTCTAGAACCTGAAACCCTAAAGACATTGCGAAAGAAAACAGCAGAGGAAGAGGAACAGGACGAAGATCGAGAGAAAGGCAGGAGACTATGCAGAAGAAGAAAGAGAATTCGGAAGTGCATAAATCTAAAAGAGTAGAAGAAGAAGAAGGATCGAAAGTAGAAGCTTCATTGATTTCCTTGCGCATCGCATACCATACAATAAAATAAAATAGATAAAATAAAATAAGTACATAAAATAAAATAGAATAGAAAAAGATAGGATAAAATAAAATAAAATAAAATATAATGAATTGGACTCGAATCAAAATGAAATGAAACAGGATAGAATAAAATACAATAAATTGGGTTCAAATAAAAATGAAATGAAACGAGATGGAATAAAATACAATAAATTGGTTTCAAATAAAGATGAAATGAAATAGAATAGAATAAAGACTCAAATAAAAATGACATGAAACAGAATAGAATAAAATACAATAAACTGGACTCGAATGAAATGAAACAGAATAGAATAAAATATAATAAATCGGACTCGAATGAAATGAAACAGAATAGAATAAAATGCAATAAATTGGACTCGAACAAAGATGAAATGAAACGGAATAGAATAAGATACAATAACCTGGACTCAAATAAAATACAATAAAGGATTTAAAATTATACTATTATTAATACAGAAAATACAATAACGGATTTAAAATTGTACTATTATGAAACTGTTAATACCATTCGCAAAAACTGACAGTTATACATCTAGTATTATGAAGAAGTATCTATCTAGCCTCTAGAAGCTCAGAAAGAGGAAGAAGACGAAGAAGACGACGTTGTTGCAGAAGAGGATCTCGCGGAAGAAGAGGAGTGAAACGAGGAAGCGGAAGACGCCTCGGAAGAAGGACCAGGACAAGAAATCGAGATTGCAAGCTTGCAAAAAGAGAAACTAGTGGCAAAGGAGAATGAGGAGGAGGAGGAGGAGGAGGTGGAGAAAGAAGAAGACGAAGAAGAAGAAGGAGGAGATGGTGTAGGGGTAGCGTAGCGTAAGGCAGAAAGTGATGCTTGGTATTCGTATAGCGCATCAGACAGAGGCACATACCCCGAAGCCATGTAATTCATTACTAAAGCAATCTCACCCTGCCCTATCTCTGCCCCGTTCCCCTCCTCGCTCGGGTCCCCTCGTCCCCGTGCAACCCCCGCGAAGCCTATCCACCGGGGTTGCAGAGAGTGAGTGCGCGGGCGCGCTCGCGTTATAATATAAAAAAAAAGAAGAAAAACGAAAGAGAAGCAGCGGGCGGGAGAGAGACGGGCGGAGAGAGCGCGAAATAGAGAGAAAGAGGCGGAGAGCGAGAGAGAGGGAGGGAGCGAGAGAGAGAGGGAGGAGGGAAAAAAAGGAAGAGGCAGCCGGATGAGGAAGGAGAAGGGCCCGAATAGAATAGCGCCCCTGACGACAAAACAAAATGAAACACAAAGCCGTGTTTTCATAATTAAAAAGATTGCATGCACTGAGTACAGTTCTCTCTTGCTCTCGCTTTTTCTACCGTTGCCGTTCTATGCTCGTCTCCTCTACGGAGCCTTTCTCTTCGCTACGCTGTATTTCTCTTTTTCCCTTTCCATCTGATTTTCTCTGTGATTGTCCGACCAGCCTTTCTTCCTGGACGACGCTTTCTCTCTCTCTCTCTCTCTCTCTCTCTCTCTCTTTTTCTCTTCACGTCTCTCCCTCTGTGTATCTGCTCCTCTCTCGCTTCGTATCCCTCTGCAACCCCTTCTCCCTCTCTCTCTCTCTCTCTCTCGCTCTCTATCTCTCACGCCACCCCCTCTTTTCACTCACGCGATTTTAATGATCTAGATACAAGTCAAGTATTATTCGCATCGCCACTGACCGAGCCTAATCCCGTTTAGATTCGTCTCCGAGACGTTGCCTTCGGATTTTACGTGCCCGGAATCAGACTGACCCTTTGGAAAATATTATTATTCACTCGTCACTGCTCGAGGAGCAAGGTGCTGCTCCGCGAATTGATCCGTTGATCGACGTCGTCCGCGCGCGACCGTCGCGGAGAATTATTTGTTGACGTCCGAAAATTTCGTCGCAACTTCGTTAGGATCCGCGAGACGTAAAAACGAGGAAGAAGCAATCGACGCAATTTACATTCAATTTCATGCAATCTTCGAGCCTGAAATAGAATTTAACGGTGCCCGAAAAACCAGAGAAATCATCCGACACTGTTTCTACCGAAAGGATTGAAAGGCACCTTTCAATGATTTCTATTTAATATTATTTTTATCGAAGGGGTTGAAGGACATCTTTCAATAATCTCAAATAAAAATTATTTTCTATTTCTATTATTATTTTCTATTTTCTTTCTAAAAATTATTTCCTAAAAATTGTTCTCTATGCGATCATTTCTCCTGTAATAGTCGTCGTCGTGAAATTAATTCGGCGAATTGCATAATACAAAATAATGTTAACGCTAGATTCACAGAACCTATCAAAATGACGGATCACTAATTTTTTAATTTATGATTATTCATATCGCTGTCTCTTATACACATCTAGATGTGTATAAGAGACAGATGTTAACGCTAGATTCACAGAACCTATCAAAATGACGGATCACTAATTTTTTAATTTATGATTATTCATATCGCTGTCTCTTATACACATCTAGATGTGTATAAGAGACAGATGTTAACGCTAGATTCACAGAACCTATCAAAATGACGGATCACTAATTTTTTAATTTATGATTATTCATATCGCTGTCTCTTATACACATCTAGATGTGTATAAGAGACAGATGTTAACGCTAGATTCACAGAACCTATCAAAATGACGGATCACTAATTTTTTAATTTATGATTATTCATATCGCTGTCTCTTATACACATCTAGATGTGTATAAGAGACAGATGTTAACGCTAGATTCACAGAACCTATCAAAATGACGGATCACTAATTTTTTAATTTATGATTATTCATATCGCTGTCTCTTATACACATCTAGATGTGTATAAGAGACAGATGTTAACGCTAGATTCACAGAACCTATCAAAATGACGGATCACTAATTTTTTAATTTATGATTATTCATATCGCTGTCTCTTATACACATCTAGATGTGTATAAGAGACAGATGTTAACGCTAGATTCACAGAACCTATCAAAATGACGGATCACTAATTTTTTAATTTATGATTATTCATATCGCTGTCTCTTATACACATCTAGATGTGTATAAGAGACAGATGTTAACGCTAGATTCACAGAACCTATCAAAATGACGGATCACTAATTTTTTAATTTATGATTATTCATATCGCTGTCTCTTATACACATCTAGATGTGTATAAGAGACAGATGTTAACGCTAGATTCACAGAACCTATCAAAATGACGGATCACTAATTTTTTAATTTATGATTATTCATATCGCTGTCTCTTATACACATCTAGATGTGTATAAGAGACAGATGTTAACGCTAGATTCACAGAACCTATCAAAATGACGGATCACTAATTTTTTAATTTATGATTATTCATATCGCTGTCTCTTATACACATCTAGATGTGTATAAGAGACAGATGTTAACGCTAGATTCACAGAACCTATCAAAATGACGGATCACTAATTTTTTAATTTATGATTATTCATATCGCTGTCTCTTATACACATCTAGATGTGTATAAGAGACAGATGTTAACGCTAGATTCACAGAACCTATCAAAATGACGGATCACTAATTTTTTAATTTATGATTATTCATATCGCTGTCTCTTATACACATCTAGATGTGTATAAGAGACAGATGTTAACGCTAGATTCACAGAACCTATCAAAATGACGGATCACTAATTTTTTAATTTATGATTATTCAT